ATCTTAGTTGAGTAAAAATAATAGAAAAGAAACTGTTTTACTATTTTCAATGAGATACTCTTTAACTATTATTTTTTTTCAGTTGTAATTCTACATAAAATACATAGAGGTCACTCTCATTTTAGTCCGCTATGCTGATCTAAGGAAAAAGACATTCAAAGCTAACAGACTGCCATTACTACATAATTAAATGTAATCTTACATTTATCTTCCACTCCGTATCTTGTATGGACGATACTTTCACACTGAACTCAGGTATTGCGACCCTCCTTTTCAGAGGATGAAATTAAGAAGCAGAGGGATAACCCATCTTCAGATGACCACACTGGGACTCACACATTTATCCACAGGTTCCTCTACAAACAGTTCTCCATGCTAACGGTGTAGGTGTTCGCAAAGGTAATTTCTGGTAAGCCTACAAGTTTTTTAAACATATCAAATATAAATAGGGTGTCTGCATCATTCAAGGTGAGGCAGTGAAACTGGTGAAAAGTTATTCTATTTATAGTAATTACTGCCACGACAATATCCTAAGAACAAGCTCTCCATAGTTCCGCCACTGGAATAACTAGGTCAGCACCATTCACCGAAACCCACCCACAGGGACTCGGCGTCTATAGCTCAACCGGCTAAGGCACCAGCCACGTACACCTAAGGTGGCGGGTTCGAATCCCCAGCCCGGACCCGCCAAACAACGACGGCTGCAACCAAAAAATAGCCGGGCGTTGTGGCGGGCGCCTGTGGTCCCAGCTACTTGGGAGGCAGAGGCAGGAGACTCGCTTGAGCCCAGGAGTTGGAGGTTGCTGTGAGCTGTAATGCCACGGCACTCTGCCCAGGGGGACAGCTTGAGGCTCTGTCTCAAAAAAAAAAAAAAACCCACCCACAGGAAGGTGACCTAAGGAGCAGGACCCAGTCACACCAACACCCAGGCATCTTCCCATCCACCTCCCACACCACAGCCCTGACATTCATCCTCACTGCTCCAAAAGGGGGTCATAGGAAACACTACAAATGTCACCCAGTGAGAGCACATGTTGTGAGAATAAGATGGAGTCAGTCAGGCACAGCTGGCCTGGTCGGTGTAGGCCCTGGGAGACCTTCACCTCCCCTCTCCCACTCTTCTTGTTTTGGAAATTTAGCTCCCACCCTAATGATGCCCATCCTGAGTATTTAGGAGGACTGATTGAGGACATTAACTTTGGAATGGGAAATGTTGTAGTAGGTCGCTGAATTGTGCTGATTATTATTTAAAATAAGAAATAATATGGTCTTCACTTTGAACCTTTAGGTGTCAATCTGTCATTTTGTGAATGGACGAACAGAACAGTCTTGAGAGGCTACTCTCATGGATCTCCAGAATCGCTGGCCTTCTGACAAACTTTGGTGGACCGATCCTGGTCTCTGCATATTGGCTGGCAGTGACAGGCAGCCAGCCCCTCTTCATCTACTAATGCTAGCAGACTTGCTGAGGCTATTCCAGCTCAAGGAAAATGTAAAGGAAAAAAAAAAATTCCTCCAAATCTCTGACGATTCTGTACATGAGTTAGTCTAACAGTTGGTCATAAACCCAGGCTATAATAATGTAAGCAGGAGTTGGCAAACTTTTTCTGTAAAGGGCCAGATAGTAATATTCTGTGCTTTTTGATCCAAAAGTCTCTTTCACAACTACTAAACTCTGCGGTTAAAGCATGAAAGCAGACACAGACTGGTATGTTCCAATAAAACTTTACTGACAAAGAATAGGCTGCAATTTGCAATCTGCCAATCTCTAAACTTAAGGATAGTTTGCTTAACCCTCATTACCAAATCTCAAACAGGCAATGCTTATTATGAGTTATGGCTGATAGAATCTAACTTGCTTAGCGTTCAGAATTAATTTAGTAATTATCCCTGTCAATCATGACTACCCACTGAGAATTACAATAACATCAACAGCATCAAAAGTAAAAGTAGTATTAACTACTTACTTTATGCCAGAAACTATGTCAAACTTTTCATACACATCATCTTATTCTATCCCCATAACAACCCTATGAGGGAAGTATTACTAATTATTCCCATTTCACAGACAGGGAAACAGACTCCAAGCAATTAAATGGCCTTCCAACATCATAAAAAGAGTAACCGACCATAGCTTTGAACCATGTCTCTCCATATTACTTCCAAACTTACACTCTGTCTCCTAAAGCCACCAATGGCATTACTGCAGGAGAAATGGAGACAATTGAGAAAATCAGAGATTAAAATCTAGATTAAGCCAATCTTTTAGGAATGGTCTCCTTCACCTGTGCTAAATTTCCCTCCCCAAAGAAGGAGACTTTTTTTTTTTTTGATCAGTCCTACTTTTCAGGGAATATTTAAATCTAGGGAAACATATCTATAGCTAATCATCTCACAGCTGGTTTGCTGTGGCTTTAAGGCCGGAAGTGCCAAAAGTAACAGGCCCCAAATCTTACTCCTTCCTGCCCTTTCTGTATCTGTTGCCCACAAGCTAAGGAATATCTCTGAAAGAAGCCAAGTTTTTGACTTGAGAACCACGATTGCACCGATGCACCATGAAGCAAACCACTAATATTGTACAATTTTCAGAAAGAACTTTTCCAAGCATAAGAACTATATACCATTACCTGGTATTTGTTTCACTTAATTATTCTTCCTTTACTATTATTTCCTTCATTCCACCCAGCAAATGACCTCATTGGTTCTTCCAAACCAGTTGACATCTTTCTGAGTAATTCTTCAAATGACTACAACTAACTGAATTCCAGAAAAACATTAACTGCAGTACATGTTGTCAAATTATAGCCTCTGGACTTTAACCAATCAGCTACCTGGTTTTACACAGGTTGCAAAGTAACAATGGGTTTTTCTATTTTGTTTTATTTGTTTGTCTTTTAGACAGAGTCTCATTATGTTACCCTCAGTAGACTGCCGTAGCATCGCAGCTCACAGCAACCTCAAACTCTGGGGCCTAAGTCATTCTCTTGCCTCAGCCTCCCAAGTAGCTGGGACTACAGGCACCCACCACAATGCTCAGCTATTTTTTGGTTGCAGTTGTCACTGTTGTTTAGCAGGCCCAGGCTGGGATCAAACTTGCCAGCGTAGGTGTTTGTGGCCAGAGCCCTACTCACTGAGCTATGGACATTGAGCGTCTATTTTTAAATGGATGATAAAAAAAATCTAAACAAGAATATTTCCTGACACATGAAATTATATGAAACACAAATTCCAGTTTGCATATGAGAACACAGGCACTCTCTCCAGAATTATCTATGGCTGCTTTTATACTATGATGACAGAGTTGAATAGTTGTAACAGAGGCCATAGGGCCTGAAAAACCTAAGATGTTTCCTGTCTGGATCTTTCCAGAGAAAAGTCTGCCAATCCTTGAACTTGAACCATTAGCCCTTCCACTAAAAGAAGCTGCTCAAATCCAGACACAATGCCTTCCATACATATAAGCTAGAGGCTCTTTAAGTCCACCAGAACTAAGGATATCAACATTGCTACATCACAACGATGGCCCCACTTAATGCACACTCTTAATTAAGTAATGGGGAAAGTTTAAAGCCTTTCATTCCTTCACTGCCATTTTCCACTGAAAAAGCTGATGGGATATAACTTCCAATTTCCTAACAGCATTATCATTCTAAATTGATGAACTGTAAATACAAGGCCACTTTGTGTCTCCCTCCTGACTGATATCAGAGCCACAGAGTAGAAAATGATAAATTTTCTTTGGGTTTCTTGGCGAGAAGCTCTATATATGTAATTCTGGCTTTCATCTCCCAATTTCCTTCATTTATCAGAAATGGTGACAAAAAGGTTCTAATTAGATAATTCTAATCACAAGGAACTGGGTGTGATGGAAGACTTCAGAATCACTATCTGTTCATAGCAAAACAAAACAGATAGGCTATTCTCCCTGTAGGGGCAGGAGATTTATCAATAGACAAAAGGATGCAAAAAGCCAATAGATAAGACGTAATTAAAGATCAGACCTATAAATTTTACACTGACATAAACTTAACAGGATTTGCAGGTAGAAATTCAGGATTTAAACGAGAGCATCATTATGAAATGGAAACCTTTCAGTTCCATATGCAACAACATTGTATAAAACACTGCATAATATATACATTTATTATTAAGACTAATACTCTGTGCCTCTAAGCCCTTTCACACAAGGAATTTGAATTATTCAGTGCCAAGGTAATTTCCAAAGTGGTCTATCTTCCTCAAGCATTTCTCTTTAATTAGCTTTAATATATTTTCCTTGTATTTTTCAGCATCAAAATTTCTTTTAGAAATAACAGTCTACCTATTGTATCTTTCGTAGCTGTGGGAAGCATAATTCAGAAAGGTCTGTATATTGCTTTAAGTCTTCACTTTTTCCTGTTAAAATGTAAAGAAATGATTTCCAATGTAATAATCAACACTGCTATAACAATGCTCTCTCTCTTCACTGGCTCCAAGGCTAAAAGTAAAAATGAAGAGAACTACAGAATATCATTGAGGGCTAAAATATATTCAAATGTGATGATTTAAAAATAAAGTTGCATTTCCTAGATTAGAGCATAATGGGCCATTTTGATATAGGAGTTTGTAATATTTAGCAGACATGTGGGAGCTCAAGAGTAGCCCTTTATTTTCTGCTCTCTGAAATCACAGCCACTGAAAAACTGAAAAGACAGAAAAGAAAAAGCCGTGTCTTTCAGAAAATTACAAGTTTAGTACAATAACTCATTAACAAGTGACGTTCAGAAATAAATGCAAATTGAGGGGGGAAAAAAAAACCAAGTTGAGAAAACAAGTGGTAGAAATAAATCAAGGTACTTATAACCTTGAAGAAAACCAGGCTTGAATGTGTCAACTTTTAGCAAACCAGGAAAGGGTTGGATACCTAGAACTCAGGCGAGAAAGCAATTAAAATCTTCTTTTAAGAGTTTAATGGGATGTTGACTGGCCTGGATGATCTCAATCAGAACAACTGGACTTACCGGAGTAGGCCCAGTACGGGTCCCCCGAAGCCTTGCGTCTGCGAATCTGCACCGAGCTGCCATGTCTGTTCTCATGCAGGGCCCCGACGTAGCCTTCTGTCAACGCTGGAAGAGGAGGAGACCCACCATGAGACAAAGTCATCACCCCCTGGACACAGGAAGAGTCAAATGAACCCAACCAGGTGACCTCACAGCATCACAGACATTAGGGATAACTGAACAGAATCAATTTGTTTTACCAAAAGAATGTAAATAAATAAATAAAATCCCTAAAGACAGTCTGGCATATGGTCATGATTATTACTACTATTAATTACTTCTAACAGTGAACCTTCATTTTGAAGCACAGCGCACCAAGCACTTCATAGTTATATATTATCTTATTCCATCTACAAAACCCCACCAGGCAATAAATACAATGGTCCCAACCAGGGGACCATTCTATAGCTAAAGCTTCCATAAGTGAAAAAAAATTTGTCCAAGGTCATACACCTGGTAGACCTGAAACCCATGGCATGTATGAGCTTATGCCATGAGTATAAAGGCTCTCTGGCCTCACTGATCTTCAGAGACTATAGATTATTCCATCTCTTTTACAGATGAAGGAATTAAGGCCAAAAAACTTCAGTAACCAGCTCCAGGGCACACAGGTCAGCCTGTAGCAGATCAGAAAACTGAACAGAAGCATCCCGCATCAAAGCCAAGGCCTCTGCCACCAAATGCAGCACAACCTGAGGCCTGGGAGATTCTCCAGATCAGCACCAGTCCTCCACATCCCTGGGGCCACTAACAGTCACCTGTGGTATCTGAGCATGTGAAACAAAAAATCCTCCAAGGCAAATAATGCTCAGAAAAGAAACACACTGAATAATGTATATTTGAAATCTCAAAATGAATCCAATCCACCAAACGAAAGCAAAAATATTCTACCCCATTATGGAGAGTTTCCATCTGCCCATAGTGTTCAAAGTCCTCTCTCTTCACAGCCACTTCATGGATGCAAATTTCTTTTGTTGCCAGCCCACACCTGAATGCACTGATGCGTGATAAGGCAAACATCACAGGTGCTCAGAATCCAAAATGAAATAGAATTATATTCAAACAACACACCCCAGTTGACTATGTTAATATTTAAATGCACCCAAACAAAATCAAGCATGTTTTAAAAAACCAAAGACCATAGCTTGCGAAACTATATATTCAATTTAAGATGAAAACAGAAACACAAAAACACAATACACTCTCTATTCCAAATTAGTCAAGAGAATAATAATATCATGATAATTTTAGCTATGTTGACAACTTGACAGTCATAAAGAAAAATTAGGAAACCTGTAAGTACCTTATGATTACACTTCAGTTGCAAAGACTTGCTTTAAGAGAAGTAACACTTGAATAGAAACATTCCCTAGGGATGACCCTATGGCACGAAATAAGAATCTCATAAGCTCCACATCCATATCTACATAGAAAACTCGTCATTTATTTCTATTCCCTGCACTTCAATTAAAAAAAATATCAGAATCTAACATACTACTCCTTTTTAAAGTACAAAATTTTGGGGGTACCTACCACCCACACCATCCTACAGTTGTGCATTCAGGGCCGTAGGAACAACTTAGAGTAACAAGAACACCTAACTCAGCACTAGTATACAGTGCTTTTGAAATGCCTGGTGACACAGTGGAAATCTGCAGTATAGACTGTAGTAAGCGTACCCAAATCCCCCTTGACTGCATCAGCAATCAGACAGCTACCCTCTGTCACCACCATCATACCCAGCCCAAGGGTGGGCCTTGTTCAGTGTAAGCCAATCAATCACTGTAAACTAACCCCCGGCCACCGTGATGTGTTTGGGCATGAACACCTCAGCCAATCTGAGATTCTTTTTCTTCCTCAAAAGATTATGACATGAGCCAGAAGCCTCAAGGGTCAGTTGAGGATCTCAAAATTGGAACCAAGCCAGAGGGGACAAAATCTACAGATCATTCTGGTGACAAAATTTAAACCTTGGACAAAGCAGATTTGAAGCCCTTTCGGAGGCTCTAAGTTACATGAACCAATTACCTACACATTTTTCTGTCTCTTGTACACAAAAGATCCCCAGATGACACTGATGGTGTCCTATAAACTACCACTTGAACTCCTGATCAGCAATTTCTCCATCCATAAAAGGCCACTGTTGGACAAGAGTTCTGACTCTCAACCCTGAGCTCCTTTTGAAAACAAAAATCAAAATAAAACCACCACCACCACCAAAAAAGAAACCTATGGCCTGGACCTCAGCCCAATCACACATATAACACATCACACTGTGGCATAACAGGTCTCGGCCGCGCAGCAGAACTGCCTGTCCAAAGGTATTCACATGGGGCAAAAATAAGAGATGAGGTGGGCTAAATACGGATCCCCTGACAAGACACCTCTTGCCAGAGCTATCCCAAGAAAGGTGGGTTAAACTTGACTTCCTCACATTCCCCGTAGTACTGAGGTACAATGGGATGTTACACAGTACAGGCAAGATGGGCAGGAAAACTTTTTGAAGGGCATGTTTTGTGGCTATGAAGGACTCTAAACCCCTGGAAATAAAAAGCATTTGTATTCCTGGACAATTACCATGCTACCACCGACACTGGAGCTCTGCACATGGTACTATCCAAACACAGTGAGTGAGTGAGTGAATGATACCAAGATGGGCGGTATCTGTCTGGGGGCAGTGATGGTAAGATATGTATATCTGGAGCGTGTACATCTGTACACATTCGCGCGTGTGTTTACATAAGCCACAGGCAAAAGCACCCCTTTCTCCTTCTGACTCTCTCCAGCCACAGCACACTCATCGGAAACAGCCAACACGTAAATCATGAAGCAGGAAGGGAATGACCCTGAGTCCCCAATAAGCAATTCTTTGGGAGGCAAGTCAGCGACACACGGGAGGAGAGGACTCGATCATCATGCTGCCACCAGATGGTTTTTTCTCACAGATAAACTACTCATTAAAAGTGACTATATTTAGTCTTCCCCTCATCCCATCTATGTCAGTAATGTGTGATTCTTTTCTTACCACATACAGTCATGCGCCTCACGGTGACATCTCGGTCAATGACAGGTAGTCCCATAAGTTTACAAAACTGCATTTTTACTGTACCTTTTCTATTTTTAGATACACAAATCTTACCACTGTTACAACTGCCTACAGTTTTCTGAGGGGGGGTTGGCTGTTTTTATTTTTTTGAGACACAGTCTCAAATCAATGACAAGGTGATTTTTTTAAAAACTATGATTTGAATAGCAGTCAAAAAAAAATGTATATAGAGCAGAGGTTCTCAACCTTTGGGTCGCGACCCACAGGAACTGTATTAAAAGGGTTGCAGAACTAGGAAGGTTGAGAACCACTGATATTAAGTATATTAAGCAACTTAGTATTTTCTTGGCAAGGAACAGTGATTTGCAAATAGAAACAAGTCTGTGGATCTCAAGTAAAGATACAGAGTCAGCACACCAAATTCAATCAATTTTAATACTCTTTGTAGTCTTCTGAGCTCAAACAGCCAACCAACGGAGGGATGGCAAAGATATGGTATGGCTATGAATCATGCTATTGATTTTCAGTTTCTTCTGTGCAGAAAATTAAATTATGCAAATGAAGGCCTTTACAGACCCTCATCTTAATGTGAAATTGCATACTTGCTTACGTCAGCAACTTAATTACATAATTAAAAATGGAGTATGCTTATAAAAATATGTAGTTTCACTCTTTAGAAAAGACAGTAAGTGTAAATCTGCTTATGGTTATCAGTGAATAACAAGAGAGAAAAGACCATGTTATGCAAAGATTATATCCTACCAGGTGCTATAGCACCAAGCCCACTACGGTTTATTGAGCTGAAGTCCTTTGTCAGCAGAAAGCATAGGAGGCCTTTTAGTCATGTTATAACATAGCAAGTGATTGGACTCTGAGTTACGCAAGACGCGGGGAAGCCCAACAGTCTACACTGTACATCACCGTATATTCCTCCTCAAAGAGATCATCCCCACTGGCACTGTAACCAACACTCACAGGCACACAAACGAGCTGACAATCCTGGGAATGAGGAATATTAAATTGAAGCAATCTTCAAGGGTCTTCTTTCATTCTTCCAGAATGAAATGGGTCTAGAAAGGAAGAATCGAGGCACTTCCACCCTACAGGAGAATTCAAGTCTCTCAATTTTGACAAGATGAAAGTGGAGGTTTCAAAACCAATAATATTAACTAGCCAATGATGCTTACGTCTCACTCAGCAGGAGGAATCTTAAGTCAAGTTGGTTGCTAGGCAGAGAGCTAAATGAGTGACAGCTATTTTCATCAGGGAGTTTTCATAAACTCCGACTCCTCTCAGAACTTCTACTGAGCTTAACTTCATTTCCAGCCTGAGCGAAAAAGATAAAAATGTTTCAAGACCCAAAGGCCCAATCCTTTCCTATAAAAATATCCTAAGAGTTACCTACCACTGAAGATATTAACAAAACTGTTTCCTATGTGCACGGTTTAATTTCCCAGAGCCACCGGACATAGTTTATAAGAATAAATGTTTTTATTCTGGGACTATAAAAGCAGATGTGTAGCCCATCTGCCTTAACTGTATCTTTGGAAGGATTCTGCTTAATCCTTACTCTCCGCTTTCACAGAAATTTTGACCTGAGGGGGAGAAACAAAGACTTGCAAGCTATGTTAACTCTTCTGAGTTAATCTGCAAGCTAAACATTTTTCATACAAAGAGCCCAGCTCTTCTGAATACCATATTAAATAGTGCTCTTGACACTGTTTTTTCTCAAGTTTTGCTGTCAGAGAGAAGAAAGGGTCACCACATCTATATGGGATAAAAATAAATGCTGCTCAACACATATCAAAAGAGAATATTTTTATCCTAAAACTGCAAATGTGTGTTTTGTTTTGTTTTTGAGATAGATTCTTACTTTAACGCCCCTGGTAGAGTCCCCTGGCATCGCAGCTCACAGCAACCTCAAACTCTTGGGCTCAAGCAATCCTCTAGCCTCAGCCTCCCTAGTAGCTGGAACTACAGGCGCCTACCACAACGCCCGGCTATTTTTAGAGACAAGGTC